CTGGTAAAACTAGTTTACTAGAGTTTGCTCTGTTTATAAAATTCATTATATCTCATAAACGAAGACAGATAGGACATATATATTTATGTGACTTTTTTTCATTATTTTTTAGACGTACAATCCGAAGTGGATCCCACAAGTTACGAAACATCCTGTATATGTGTACTGAATTTACCTCATCAATTCAGATCTAAGTTTCTCGTGAAACAAATCCTTAGGTATTCTATTATTTTTATGTTTCTTTTCTTTATGTTTTTTCTTATGCTTTTGTTTTTTATTCCTTTCGCTGAGTTTATGATACGTACTTCGGTGTTAGCTTGGAAAATTTTCTTTCATCCCTGAAATGTAGGCTGGAAATTTGAAAAATTTGCAATAAAGCTCCCAAATCCCAAAATGTATCACAAACAACTATTATAGTATTCATCGTAAATATTGTAAAAATTGTACGATTACTTCAAACTAATTTGGAAATTGACTTATCTTATCAAATTATTTGACATCGAATTTAACTTCTTAATTTAAAGATGATTTGCTACTAAAAAAAACTCGTTTCTCTACTGAATATTTCCTCTATCACCTACTGAAACATTTCCTTCACTTATCTAAACTAAATATTTCTTGCCTTGAGATTTAAAAGAATCGTCATCCAATGTAGAAACTTCACTATCACCCCAGATACGGGTCGATCAACGTGTTAACAAACAAAGTCCTCTTGAAGACTTGGAATTCATCGACGAATAACAGTGATTTACGACGATACACTCGTGTTTTCAAGGTGTATTTTACTGCGAATCTGCGTGGTTTCAGAAAAGAAGCCACGGAACAATTCTCCGCGGGTTCGTCCCCGTTTCGGCTACGAATTTCAAAGTGTCGATGAAACTTGCGTGAAACAGCCAGACACGCGGCGACTTGGCGAGCGTTTTCCTTCGTTCGCCGATGAAACGGGTCAAAAAACGAATCAGAGAAAAAAAGAAAATAGAAAGAAAAAGAAAAACACGGGGGAAAGAGAGAACACAGAGAAAGTGGCAATCGATATTTCGCGTGAACGGTAAATACAATTTTTACGAGGGTTCCAGCACAACGCGCTGCTCCCCCGGCTTTTTATTTTTACATCGAGCTCAAGGCAATCCGGCGAACATTTAATACCGGGACTGAAACGGTGTTTACGAGGGCGGATCGAAGATCTGAATTCCTTTTGTCCATGAACAAAACGCGTCTGCCTAATAATAATAACGTGTTACAGTGAAATAATGAAAAATTGCCGACAATTTCTCGAACTGATGCAATTTCGTAAAAAAGAAAAACATCGCGAAACGAGATCCAAATTTGATCAAAGTCTCAGAGCGTGAGTATTTCATCGCGTGGCGGAGGATACATTCGAAAGTTTGCGTAAAGACGTTGAAAAAGTCTTCTATAACTATAAATATATTTTTAAATCTAATTACGTTTTTTTTAAAGATATTCTTACAAGGATTCAGAACTTGTTACACGATTGTCCTGTTTTTATTGTGCTTCGAATGTTAGAATTGAACGACAAAAGTTCGGAAAGTTTCCGACATCTAACGTGCAAAAATTTAATAAAGTGACGGGGGGGGGGGNTCGATAAAGTCTTCACCGATGAAAGACAATTTTCTTCAGTGGTATTTGAACTTGTTCCAAAAGCTGTCGAAAGAATCTCTCTCTCTCTCTCTCTCCTTGACTCTTCTCTCCCATTTTTTTCGACTATTCCAAATGTTATCTTCCAAAGCTGGAACAATTTATCGACAAATTACGCGTGAGGTGCAAGGTGCGAGTTACGACCAAGCAAGAAGGTCAAAGGAGATAACACGACTAGGGGAATCAATTGCACAAAGTGGAAACTACTACTCCCCGGCCAGCTGAGATTCTATTAAGAGTTTCTCAAGAGGTAAAACTCTCTTCCGGTTGCAACGGTGTTCGAAGAAACGATCTCTCCCCCTCCCAACGCTCGAGATAAAGCTTGGTCTCGACTAATGTTATTTAAAATCAAAAGATACTCCTCTTTCCGAACATTCAGAATTACCATTCTCGCCGGATTACCATTTTCAATTAACCGGCCAGCCACTTGCTTCGGCAAACTGGAGAACAAAAGTGCAACGAAGGGAAACGATAAACTTGGCGGTACCTATAGAAACGCTCCTCGAAACTCCATAATCGTTGGACAACTATCAAACGACATGGTCGACCAGTCAACGATCTCGACATCTGTGAAGTCCAAACGACGATTGGAAATTGTGAGAAAATTCACCCGACGACGAACCTGGACCTTGACCGACAGCCGACCAATGTCTTGATCGTTTATTGGCGTTTAAACGGGCACGTCGATGCGGCCCGGTTTCGCGAAAAGACGCCGGCGAATGGCGCGATTCCCACGCTTATCAATTCGGATGCGCGTTATCGCTCTCGCATCCACCTTCGGCTGGCTTCGAGTAAAACTCACGTGCCACCCACCGGAGAGATAATTGGAATCGTGAATATTTAACATCGCGATGCAAACAGTGCCTGAATATTTATAGGACTCGCCGTTTTCCATGAGAAATTGAATTTCAAAATGTTCCCTTTTCCTTTCGAACGAGAACCGGCGAGGCGAAGTCCTTCCGTTCGGAACAGGGGGCGAGGTCAGGCCACGGCGAGACCACGTTTCCTCTATCGTCTCTGCTCGGGTTTTTTAGATTTATCATTCTTTCAAAGATTTGCGATTAAGACTTCTTCGAGTTTAAGTTATTTAATAATATATATATATAAATTATTTAACTATATATATATATATATATATATATATAAATGTAAATTATTTGACAATATATATAATATATTATTATACAATATATTATTTATTATTTATATTTATATTCTATATTATTTATTATTTGTATTTATAACATATATATTATTTAACAACATATATATAAATGTAAATTATTTAACAATATATATAAATGTAACTTATTTAAAAATATATATATATAAATGTAAATTATTTTATAATATATATATATAAATACAAATTATTTAATATATATGTTATTTTCTTATGTATTATATAATATATATATATATTATATAGTATACTAATATATATATATATAAATTATTTAATGACAGGTTTCGAACTTACCTTCTTTTTGTCCTCAAGGATTTGCACCCTTGGATTCGACAGTTCCAAACGAGAATATAAAACTGACTAAGGAGGAATATAATAGAGCACCACGCCGCATCGCGGTTACGGTTTACCTGACAGAAACGCTGTAGCTCCTCTCGTTCCTCCTTTCGTCCTCGATCCTGGCAAAAATTCCTTGGCAGAGGCGCGGCGTGAGTCCAGGATCCTCCTGCGGAGCGACAAAGGGAAAAAAGAAAAGAGTGGAAGTCGTTAGCTCCCGTCGTTTCGTTTCTCAAAAAAAAAAAAAAAAAAAAAAAAAAAAAAAAAAAAAGGAAAACGAGCGCGGCAGCGAAGTTTCCCGTGCGATGGAAAAAATTACGTATCGTTAACTACTATCGGTCATCGGAATGTCCCCGGGGCGATCGAACGACTCCGTTTCCCATAATTGAAACCGAACGTGCTCGACGTATAACCGCAACACGTGCTTCGCTTTTAAAAAAATCGCTCGTCGTTCGTTCGCCCCTCCTGTGCCCTTTCACCCCCCCCCCCCCCCTGGATGGTGTAATGCAGCCGCGATCGGCTACGAAGCCACGGGGCAATTTAATTAAGCGTCGCCGCCCGGGCAAAAACAGTTTCAATTTACCGGTCGAAATTCGCCGGAGAAGCCGGGGGGAAAAAAAGAATCCCCCCCCTCCTCTGCCCCCTTCCTCGTTGCCCGACCTGTCACACGGAAATCGTTACCTCGTTTCGAATTATGCGCGCTAACTCTCGATCCGTTTGCCCGAACCCGAACTCGCTCTGTTCCGTATTTGGAAAATAAATCAATCGACATTTGTCAGAGCTGGGAGGATTTTCCCGCGATTGAGAACTGACGGCCTGAGCGAGTATTTACACGTTCGAAGTATCGGTGGCGAATTGCGGAGCGATTCAAGGACAGGTAGATTCGGCGCACGCAACGTTGCGTTTTTTTTTTTTTTTTTTTTTTTTTAGAAACGGAGAAGCATAATTGTACCAATAACAATTGTTGAGAAATTGTGAACATTTAAATACCAATAACAATTGTTGAAGAATTGTGAACAATTTAAACTTTATAATGAAATTATATAATTTTATATATTACCATTACATAATATTATATATTACCAGTAACAATTGTTGAAAAATTGTGAACAATTAAATACCAATAACAATTGTTGAAGAATTGTGAACAATTTAAACTTTATAATAAAATTATATAATTTTATATATTACCAATAACATTATATAATATTATATATTACCAGTAACAATTGTTGAAAAATTGTGAACAATAAGTACCAATAACAATTCTTGAAAAATTGTGAACAATTTAAACTTTATAATAAAATTATATAATTTTATATATTACCAATAAAATTATATAATATTATATATTACCAGTAACAATTGTTGAAAAATTGTGAACAATTAAATACCAATAACAAATAAATACCAATAACAATTGTTGAAAAATTATGAACAATTTAAACTTTATAATGAAATTATATAATTTTATATATTACCAATAACATTATATAATATTATATATTACCAGTAACAATTGTTGAAAAATTGTGAACAATTAAATACTAATAACAATAAGTACCAATAACAATTCTTGAAAAATTGTGAACAATTTAAACTTTATAATGAAATTGTATAATTTTATATATTACTAATAACATTATATAATATTATATATTACCAATAACAATTGTTGAAAAATTGTGAACAATTAAATACCAATAACAATTGTTGAAAAATTGTGAACAATTTAAACTTTATAATGAAATTATATAATGATGTATATACAGGGCGTAACATGTTAGTACAAATATCATATAACATGTGTCTTGAATTCGTGTCGATGTTCTCTACAATACAGTGGAAAAAGAATTATGTGTTCCCATTTGTTTCATCCAAAGTGACCTTGATTTAACTATGAAACGTTTTCGAAATTTTTTTTATTGACACCTACTGTGCACCTTGTACCGTTCAACTTTTGTTCCAAACTTTTTCTTGTCAGATGGCTGAAAGTAGGAGAAAAATCGTGCGTCGCGTTACAGGAAACACCCTGTATATAATATATTATAAACTTAATACTTTGTCAAAAGGAAAACAGATCTAGTGCGGTAATAATCTTGGTCTCATTTTAAAGAGCGAAGCTTCTATTTTGATAGTTGCGAGTTCACTTCTTTTGAAGATGATTTCACATCACGTAGCGGACAGGACACATTTTTCTCGAAAATTGTAAAAATTCAAACGTGTGTTTCAAAAAATACGGAAAATTTCTTTTTGCGACTCTTGCGGATCATTTTGGAGATTCAAATTTCTCTTTCTCAATGATTCCCTGAAACTTGTGTTCTACAATTTTTTTTTTGCTGTTTTATTGAATGTTGAATATTGGGATTAAAAAATTCGAAAATCCTAATATTTTGTCATAACCCTAATGTTCCAAATTCGATAAAATGATGATTCAATAAAGAAAAATCGTACATCGAATTTTAAGAGGACATCGTGAAGAAACAAATTTCAATATTCAAAACCATGCTAGATTCAGTCGTAAGAAAATATTTTTTCAATATTTCTACACACGTTTGAATTTTTTTACAATTTTCGAGAAATCGCCACGCAAATCGTGATGTAAAATCATTTTCGCAAAGAGCAAATCCACGATTGTCAAAGTACAAACTTTAAACCGGGACTAAATAATAATCGTTAATAACTATCGTTCGATTATAATCTTTTTTTACAAAGTTATATTAGTTTAGATTATCGACAATATTTCATTATCATTGGTACAATTATGCTCTTCACTGTAAGATGATTATGAAGAATTCGCAAGTATTCGTAGAGTCGTGGAAAATTTTTCAAGGTTCGAATATAGAGTAGACCAAAAACCACTTACTGCTAAAATTAATGATTTCTTATGATTTTCTTATTATATATCTTTTCTAATTTATTTATTTTTTCTAAATATAATAAAAAAATCATGTTTGAACTTAAATTTAATTCAAAATTAATACAATTAGTTTTCTCTTATATTTTGATGTTTTGTTAAAAAAAAGAAAGTAGGCATAAGTAGAAACTTTTGGCCCATTCTATGCAAACAAATTCACAAGAAGAAGTGAAAGAGTACCTTGGTGCCCATCATTGTGTAGGTTTTCCCTGACGCGCTTTGCCCGTACGCCACCAGACAGGAATTATAGCCAGTGAAAACAGCGTCCAGGACGGTCTGGCCAAGCGTCTGGTAAATCGTTGCCTGGTCCGCGAAACTCTGTGTCTCTGGGTTCGACGAATCGAAGCAGTAATCGAAACCATATTTCCTTGTCCTTTCGCGACTGTCGCCGGCCTTGCTCGAGGACACCTTCAAGTTCGTCAGGGAAATCTCGTTCGAGTCCGTGCGTACAACCACCTCTGATCCAGTTAAATTCAGTTCTCTGCGTCAAAGAGGATGGAGTGTTATTTTTTTACAAAGAGAAAAGGGAAATCCGTTCTTTGTTTTTTTCTTCGCTGAGACAAAGAGATCTTGCAGTACAATTCAATTCTTCACCGCGAAACGGCCGTCCTCCGTTCGCGTTTAAACCGCGAAAGGATTCCTCAATTCAGCCGAGTTTCACTGTCTGATCACTCTGCCGATCGGGCGGCTAATTCACGGAGAAAGAGATCTCGCAGAGAGCTCTGAAAAAAGAAGAAAAAAAAGAAACCAATGACACCGAGTTAACTAACGCGAACTTGTGGCTTCTTCCAGGCTGGAATTTCCAGAGGCATTCAAACTGCTTCCACGCGGGATTATCAGATGCCTCTGGCGAAAGATCTATCGGGGGAACGAGTCGACTGGGAACGTTATCGACGATTTTCCAGTTTGCGGAGTTCCCAGTCAGTCGAAAGGTAGGTAGCAAAAACGGGAGCAACCGATTCGAACCACGTTCGGACGAGTTTTCGGTTTGCCTTCCATCCTGTGGTGTAACGTTTGACGTGAAGTCAGATAAGTACTAATAGTGGCCTCCGTGATAGCCACATCATGGACTATATAGCTCCTCTGTTCTTGCGCCGTCGTTTTCATTCCACATATCCCCGGAATTCCGTTTCCAATCTCTTCCAACGCTGCTATCCTTTTTTTTTTTTTTTTTTTTTGTAATTTCTGCAACTGTTTTTCAACTTCCTTTTTTTTTTTTTTCTTTACAAAACCTTCGCTGCTCCACGTGACCACTGTAATTTAAAGTTTAGTGCAGTTCTGTCATCTTCCTTTCTTCAGATTTAAAATTATAAATCTTTTATATAATTTGCTTCATTGGTTTTTTCAACCGCTTGCACAATGTTCCTGATATTCATTTCTGATATTCATATACAGTATACAATCTCACCTCAAATGCTCACGTTCTGACACTAATGAAATAGTTAATTAACCCAAATAATTTCTAACTGCTTGATAAGACAAGTATCTTTTAAACTCACCTAAGTATCGTTTCAATAGCTATCTACCAGAGAAAATCTCAGAAAGTCGATACACTTTTCCTTACAGCCAATACATTTTTGCATTCATTTCCATGTTCATTCTTTGTTCTCTTATTAAAGAGAACGTTTCCAGTAATAAACTTGCTCCTCCGAGCTGTGGAAGCTTTTATGAAACGTACGCAATCCTCTGTGCCACTGCACTTTGTTTCCATTTCAGAAGAGCGACGATTACACGTACGTGGCCTCTCGCGTGAAAGCAACAAAGTTAAAGGTACTTTAACCCGTGGTCCTCGCGTGATCCTATCGTGGCCCTGTTCGCTCTTTAATCGTCACGATTTCGTGCTCCGTGGTCCGCGTTTTTGCGAAATTAATACCTGCTGGTTGTTCGATAAATCGTTTCAGGTTGCAAGAATTATTCGTCTACTGGCTACAAACGACTGTTCCACGGAAGTAGATCTATTTAGAGCCAGCGAAATTCTTTGTACAGCAGGTCTGAATTGTTGTGCAGTGACATTCAAACGTTAACCTAAATTACATGGACTCGTTTTAAATCGTCTCTGAACTGAAAGTGAACATTGAAATATAGTACGGACAATTGTATAAGAACACTGGATTAATAATTAATAATTAATAAAATCAAGTGTAAAAAGACATTAAAAGAATCCTTCTGAACACTGGAAAGGTTTTCAAAAAAGGAACCTCTGTAGGACCCAAATTACAATTTCGCATAGAGTGAAACTAGTACTCTCTCTCTCTCTCTCTTCAACGAATAAACGAATCAATTCCATACCAAATGGAAAAAATATCCGATCGGCCGACAACCGTATCATCGATCCAATCAATAATTCCAAAAACTCCATTCAACACGATTCGACATTGGGCCACTTTGCATTCGCGTAGATCAACTCCATCAATCGTCTGATTCGCAGGAAGCCTGTGACAGAGAACCGATCCGTCGGATCCATCCGTTCGCCGATAGCCCTTCGATCGGCGGACAAAATGGCCGTTCAGACAGTTTTCAATGAACCGTTCAAACGGCTACGAGTGTACGAACGTACACGTTCAAAGAAACACTCGCCACTCGTCGCTGACCAATATTGAAAAGGGTCGGCGGTGCGTATACCGCCTGGGAGCTTGGTCCAGAAAAGTCTGAACGAGGAGAGGAGATGTTGAATGAATCAAGGCAGTGTACGCGAATAGCAGCAGCCTGCCTTGTTATTATCCTCTCTTGATCCTCTTCCATCGCAACAAGGCGCCACGCCGTGCCACACTCTCTTATCCCAAAGAGTGTTATTCTAGAACGGATCCTCCCTCCTTCTCTCGCGCTATTCCTGCATCGAGTCATTAAACCGTCTAGCCGTGTGTCGTCGGTGTGTCGTAGCTGCTCATAAGTAAGTACGTCGTTCCGCCGATCCATCGCAAAGTGAACAACACCCGAACACCCGAAGATCGGTAGCAGTTTCGCTACTTTAAATAAACCCATTCTTCGCTGTGGTCCCGCTCACGCAGAAGATGAAATATGGCTTCGTTATACAGTGTGTTTAGGTAGCAAAACCTAGCCCAAACCTAACCCACTTCAGGAGTTGATTGTACGCCTAAAAAAGTCGTACAAATATATATCCTATCTGTCGTACAAATATATGTCCTGTCTTCGTTTATGAGATATAATGAATTCTCTGTTTTAATTACTTTTACGAAAGATGCTCGAAATGACTAGCCTGCACGCGTCTTGTCATTCATCTGGTTACTCTCTCTATCGTTCCTGGTGTTTCTCGAATTTGTCGGAAGCCTTGCACTATTCTATTTCGTAGTATTCCAGCATTTTCAATCGACGTTGCGTGTACAATAGATTTTAAATGTCCCCGCAAATGAAAATCTAATGGATTCGAATCCGGAGGACGAGCAGGCCATGCAATAGGACCTCCACGACCAATCCATTTATTTGCAAAGTGTTGATTTAACAATTGCCTAGCCACTCGGCTAAAATGCGGCGGAGCTCCATCATGCATAAACCGCATACGAAGTCTAATATCGACTGGAACTTCCTCTAATATTTCGTGTAAACGCGTACTCAAAAAATCAACGTACTTTGTTAGTTTCCCATCAAGAGAAAAAGGTCCAATTAAAAATTTATCAATTATTCCTGCCCTATACGTTTAAACTAAACTGGCGTTGATGCCTTGAATGCGCAATAACATGTGGGTTTTCTTCGTCCCAATTATGATTATTATGAAAATTGAATATACCATATCTGGTAAAACTGGTTTACTAGAATTTGCTCTGTTTATAAAATTCATTATATCTCATAAACGAAAACAGATAGAACATGTATTTATATGACTTTTTTTTTCATTATTTTTAGGCGTACAATCAGCTCCCGAAATGGGTCCCACAAATTACGAAACACCGTGTATATTTTGTCAAAGAGTCTCTCCTTCAGTTTGTTCATTTTTCATTCAGGCTCGAAAAGTACACACGTTAGATCGCTTATTTATCCTAAAATGATGAGAAAAGGAATAAATTTGTAAGATTATACGTTAACAAATCGGGAGTCCGCAGTTTCTTCAGACGACCCTAATTTCATCGTCGACTTATTATCGCTCGCCTAGCGATTGTTAGTTTGTCTTACTTTCCGGTGGCGTCTCGGCCCCATCTTCTAAGTATAGAAACGAGTTCATAGCGGCTCAAAGACGCGCCGCGCGCCCTTATAAATCTGCCTTCAAATTTCTATCCTCGTTCGTTTCTTGCTGCGCTCGCGGCCGTCCCCGAAATAGCTGTTTCCGAGACGCGTGTTTCTGTTTGCTTTCCGAACGCTGCCTCGTGAAACCGTGAAGCGGCACGAGAGAAAATTGAATTTGCAAAAACAATTTGCAATTTGAGAACAAGGAGGGCGAGTTAAACCTTGACCTCGAGTTCCTAAAAAATGCGTGCACGTCTGGACGTGGTCTCTGCCTGTTTCTTAAAATACACGACGGAAACGAGCTTAATGGCAAAAGCAACTCGTAACAAACTCGCAGCAAACCTGAAACTTTTGGCGAATATTTCTCATTAATCAGCGCACGTTTCACCTTCTTCTTGAACTTACACGTTTACTCGATTTTCAAAACCGCTTCGCCCTTTCGCATGCCCGCATACCAAGCCCGCTCGGACCTGCGATTAACTTGGCTCACACAGTTTGAAATACACGTGCATAATATTTTCCGATATGTCTTTTCATCGCGCGATTAAAATTCGCTCTGACTCACTCACCTGGCAGAAATCGGTCTTACACGAACTGCCACCTTGATGTTCGCCATATTGCCATCGCGTGGACGACAATAATCGGCATCAGCTGGCTGCCATCGTAATTAAGTGCCCCTGCTTGTGTGCGTCTAGGAGGAATGATTGAACGGAATCACTCTCGACAGACGACCGAAATGTCCAAAGATCGTTTGCGTTACATTTTGTACTTTGTCAGGTTGAACGATCGAACAACGGAGATGCACACGGAGACAGGAGAGAAGTCGGGAAGAGCTGTGCGTGCGCCAGCCGGGTGCACGTGTCGTACTGTTGCGATGAAAATATCCACGAGTCGCTTCCAAGACCATACGCCGATGGTTTACCCCACCCAGAGTGAGAGAACTCGGCCGAACTCGTAACATTTTGCCCAAACGCCTGCGGACACTCCATTCCTTGTCGTATCCTTCCTTGCAAAGTGCTACAAGTTACTCAAAGAAACGAAGAATTATTGTCTCTTACGACAAGTGCGCTGAGTCATTTACGCTTGTTTTGATTATAATTGAATTAACTGCTCCTGAAATAGCTTCGATCTTTCGTGCAAACGTCTTGAGATAAAGCTATGTAGTATTTTGGCTAATTAAGAAAACGTATCTTGCGATACGTATGTAAGTTTGTAGTAAGTCGTGTGTTTGGTAAACACATTTGGTTAACCGCACATCACGATTATAAACACGATGAGCATATGGCCTGTTCAATGTGCGCGCGTTACACTGCACGTTGTTCTTTTGTTCTTGTAAGAAGGAAAAGCAAAGATGTAAGGAACAAGAAACAGCAATAACGATAAATGATAAATGAACCATCGATTAATGCTAAATAAATTATCACTGAAAGTCCCCTGTTTTCTAGTTTATTCTAAAAAGTTTCTATCTTGATTCCAACTACCTTTAAATACGATCGATCGAGAAAAACAGAATGAGTTTTTCCGTCGACATTTTGTTTTACAGGGGTATTTTTAGACTAGTGGACCGACTAAAGTATATTCTGTGTAAGTTTAGTCATGAAGAAATACCGTCTACCATCATAAAGCGCGTCTACGTTCATTGGTACGATCCATTAGTCGTCTTTGAGGGCTATGAGAACCGTGAAGTACGAGAACGACGTACTCAGAACCTGCAAAATACACAAGATTCTATGAGGAAGAAACTTCAACCGCGCTTGAACGACCATCTCATTCTCGTAATAAATAATACAGATATCCTCGTCAACTTCAGGGATCCTTTTTCTTTCAGTTGAATGACATTTTTTTGTTTTATTCACTGTTGAGAAACTCTCCAGTGACATGTCGTAGAATTTGGCCGCGGTTATCTTGTTGGGGATCCTCGTACGCATCATTATGATCTGAAGAGACTGACAGAAACCGCTACCGATCTATTCACTAAGCGGAATCGCCCACTCCCTCGCTCTGTGGATACCACATTGATCGACGATTATTCAATCAAATCCTTTCAACCTCTATATAAGCAGCATTCTTATGAAAGCGGTCGCGTATAATTTTCAACCATCACCTCGTCCATCAGGCGGTTTCCACTGAAGCTGAACGTGAACAGCTCGAGAATCGCCGAGTTCAAGAAGGTCGAATATTTCATCAGGCGTCCCTTGTTCTCCATCATCTGGAAACGTTACCTTTTTTTTTTTTTTATCAACGACGCCTTGACTCGCGAGCAAATCGAGCAAACGCACCGAGGTAATCTGGAATCCCGCGAAGCAGATCAGTCCGGTGCTAATGACGAATTGCCCCAAAGCCAGAATATTTATTATCCTCTCCAGTGCATCTGCGTACCTGCAAACAGACTGTACCATCTAGACGTAAAGCAGCGTGCCCTTATATTGGTAATCGATCGACACGAGAAATTAATTTTTCTGCCTCGCTCCGCGAGCAAATGGTTAAAATGGCAAATTCACGGTGATAGGAGAAGTGTGGACGCGCACTCTATCGCTTCCTGGTGACGAATCACGTAATTGCTCATAACAGCGAGAGAATTCGGATCCTCCCCGTTCAGTTCCTCCAGTCTTCTTCGTAGAACAGCGAACTTCCCCGAATCGTGCATTATCACCACCAGATTGAAACCGGTGGCGCCGGCGATCATGCTGCCGCCAAAGCCACCCGCCGTTACGTTGAACAGATAAAAGCACTCGAACACCGGCGACACGGTGTGATTGATAAAAAAATAGCCGCGAAATGGGAGCATCTTCTCGTTGCTACCAAGCACGTAGATCTGCAACAGAAATGCAACGCTGCTCCCTGGGAATATTATTATCAATTATCTCGGTGTTTGCTACTGTACGAGCCAATTCTTGGTCGAACGTGTGGATGAAACCATGCCCCGATTCAGATTCGAACGTTTCTCGTGAACGTCGCCTACCTCCAAAATCGGGACGAACATGAACAGCACGATCGTCACAGCCACGGTACTGATAAAATATTTCACGAGACGAAAGGCAAACATCGTTCTCTCCGCCCAAATTTCTCGATCTTCGCGAGAGGACAAGACCCAATCCTTTCTCATCGTGTTCACCACGTACAGCATGTCCTTCTGATGAGACGTGTGCACTAGCAAACGAACAACACAGAGGTGAAACGCTGTACAAATCAACGTGCATTCGGTCGCCTCGTCCAAGTTATCTATATTGTGAACCACGTTGGCAGTCACTGCAACGGACATCACTATCACCTGAAAATTCAACCTTACCAGACTGTTCTCTTTCATTTCTCGCGGGGGTACGTGATGAGCGAGAATTTTCACAAGGGAGGGATGATTTTCGATGATCAAAGGACGACCGGAACACCGAATTCCGATCGATAGCTTGCAATGTAACATGTAATTGAACGTCGAATGTGCGACGTGCCATTCTTCAATAATAAAGGCATTGACAACGTTTCGAAAAACACAATTTACCATTTAATAATTGAACAAGAGCAATTAAATAATGAAATTTCGCTGCAGGTTTTTCTCGAACGACCGAATAAATTGTCATGTTAATTTTAAATCTCGATGTTATTAATAACGCTGTTATTAGCAGCACTTCCGTTTAATTCAGGATTAATCGCCGTCGAATCAAAGCTTCACTTCGAGTAGATTTTATCGCGTTTCAATGCCTTTCTTCGACGTGCACTTTCTCCAAAGCTTACCAAAACAAATATACAGAACACGTGGAATCTTCTGAACATAATTGTTCCTTTACTATTGTCCTCTGCCAACGGCCAAATCGATATTATCTTTGCAGTTATCATGATCGGTTTGATCAGTTTATCGTTACTCTGCGCCAGAAAATGGCTCGTCATTCATTTTTCACGTCTCGATGCGAATTCCGACAAACAAACTGAGTCTCCTGCTCGTAATAAAACAGATTTATTCTACAACAAATCGCTCGGTCGAACGATCTGATCGTACGCACGCGGAAATTGCGAAAAAAAGGAAAAAGCGTCGCCACGATCGAACGCTCGATTCGATCGAAAAATGTAAATTATAGTTATCCCGCTGCTGCGGTGGGAGGTCCGCGACAATTCACAGTGATTGAAACTTTGCGATGGACGGCCATTATTGTGTAACTTCTTTTCCATGAGAGTTTACCACATGAAAAGGTAATGACGAAGACGCAGCCGTATTAGAACTACCGCCTACAACTTTCCTTCGATACCCAGTTTTTCCCTTCTTCTCCAAATCTTCTCCTCCTTTCGCTTCTCTCATTTTTTTCTCTGTGTTTTCCTTTGTCTGACAGTGCAAAAGTGCCAGCGCTGGACATTCAATTTCGTCGCATCGCTGTAATTTAAATGACACTCAAGTTTAAAAACGTATATACGTAATTGTATGATATTGCATGTAAGGTGGGTAATAGCTAAGGGAATATTTATTACAGCTATTGCATTATGATATCGGTGGATACAATTTTCTCTTCATTATAACGTATCGAGCTTGTAATATTTATAAAGAAAAATTGAAATCCGTAATTTCCCTACTCGATTTTAAATATGACTATCGTGTCATCGTAGGGGGAAACGTAGAAACTTCTGAATGTGAAACTCTGTCGATAATCGAGAAACAGAATCTGTGTTCACGAACGTCTTATATCTAATTTTTCTCTTTTCACTCGGTTCAAATATAAGACCAAAAAAAATTCTCGAAACAAATCGCACAGAGTAGTTTGTAAATTAGAAATATTAATTAATTGAGATTATATTAAGACGTTTTGTTTGCGCAACGCTAATAATATCATAAACAAAGCACAAAATAGACAACCGATGCATTCGATGCATTTTTGTGTCACATGTTTGATGAGTTTTAGACTTTAGAGCACAGACAAGGAGTATATGTCTCGCGTGTGTTTAGAGCCTCCTTACCATTTTTGTGTCACATTCTGCTGTACCGATTTCTGCATCACACGCTTGCAGTTCTCTGATTTACCGTTCCTTAAATATAGAATGCGCTAAAAAACCAATGACCTTTTACCACGTCGATGTTTCAGAACGTGTGACACGGTACCATATCTATTCTGTGTAAGTACTAATCTATGCACTCATAATTAATAAATTTGTATTCGCAAACTTAATTAAGAAAATGGAAACTCTCTGTTAGACACAAAATTTCAATGATGGTGCTTAATTCAAAATGAAAAGTTTAAACTTGTCGAACATTTTATAAAATACAAAGAAAAGAACTAAATGTAAAATATAAAGTTACTTACATTCTTGACTTCTGAAGTCCCATTTGATCTTTTTCAAAAAATGAGAGAACGTGGAAATAATAAGAAACCTATAACGAAACATGTGAAATATTAAATGTTCTTATTTTAATATTAATAATATTTTAAGTAAAAAACAAATTGATGTACAAGAGTATCGCGAATAGAGAAATATCATATTAAAAATATATAATGTATAGTTAATATGTTAAAAAATTTGTAACTCGGAATGTTTGGTATTAGAGTTTTAAATATGTTTCGTATTGATCAAATATGGCGCCCTTTTCGTTGTCCGTTAAAGTTGTACGATATTCAAACATGTCCGTTGTAACATTGTCCCAAAAATGATTAATAACATAAATATTCTTTCAATAAAACGAAAAAATATATAAACATGTCTATCTTCAAATATATAAACACGTCTATCTTCTACAATAAATCAAATGTATAATATAATAAATCAAATGTTCATTCAAAGAACTATAACGGTTCTTTAAAACCGTTAACAATAATCTGTACAAAAAAATAGCAACATTTTGAAATAAATGTATAACAGAAAGAAATTACATAAAAATAAACTAA